AAATAGGAAAGGAGGGTATGAGATAGCGGTTGGGTGTTTAATTTACATGCCAGTGGCCTGGGAAGTCCTTCTAAGAAGGTGTGTTTTGAATAAAACTTTGAAGGAAGTGGTGAAGAGTGAGGGAAGGAATGATGAAGAGGATGGTGAGAGAGGGTCATGGGCCCTGATTTGGGTGGGGGGCTCAGGGAGGCTTCCCCGAGGAGGTGATGTTCAGGCTGAAACCAGTGGAGGGTTAAGAGTTAATCGTGTGTGGAGCAGTACAGAGCTTGCCAAGCTGGAGGAAGTGAAAGAGGCCTGCGTGGTTGGAGGGGCCAAGGGAGCAAAGTCTGTGGAAAGGTGGGTCAGGTCACAGGGGTCCTTGAGGACCAGATGCCTGTCCTTCTTAGTTTGGATTTTATCCCTGGGGTGATTAGGAACCTTTGGAGGGTTTTAAGTGAGGACATGATTACGTTTACATTTGAAAAGGTCTCTGGCCTCGTATGGGGGTGGACTTTGAGATAAGCAGGTAAGGCAAGGCTTTCTGTGTTGAGGGACCTAACTACTAGATCCGCTTGGGAAAGCCTCATGCAGTCTGGGGGAGATCCTTTTCGTCAGAGTCCATTTTGCCCAGCTTTTTGGAAGGGAAAGTTAAATGAATTAGCATGTATGGAGTGCCTGCAGGGTGGGAGAATCAATTTTAGAGACTTTTGCAAACATGAGCCAGTTTAACTTGATTCTCTCTGCACCCTAAGAGAAAGGTGTTGTCTTGCTTCTTTTACAGAAACAAGCCCAGCGGGGCTGGATGACTTACCCAAAGCCGCATTTGTAACTAATCTGGACTCAAACCCAGGTCTTCCTGATTCCAGAACCCACTGGTTCTGGAGCCAGACCACTGGAAGTTTGTGTCTTGTTCTGCCATTTACTAACTGAACGATTTTGAGTTATTTAATCTCTCTCATGCCTCAGTTTCCTGTTTGGAAAAGCCTCAAGCTTTTCCCAGCTTAAATGCAGATAAAGGTACTTACCTCATAGGGTTATTTTGCAGATCAAATGTAAATATTGAAGCACTTAGCTCAAATGTTAGTTGCTATTGTTGCTTAAATTTTGAAACATTCATGCTGCCTCTCAGCCATATTGTGGTCATTTTGGATGAGGTTAAATATATATAGATAATTCTTGAATTTTGTGAGACTCTCTTTACCCCCTCCCTTTTCCTCTAAATAACTTAATGTTAAGTGTTCCATGTGATCAGCCATTCAACATTGATCTCCCATTTCATTCTTGACATTGTGATAGGACTTATGAATACAAAGTGAGTTCCTTTCTCAAGAAGTTCAGGGTGTCCAGGAGACATCAGGTATTTAAAAGGATGAGCTACGGTATACTTAACAAGTTCCCTAATGCATCTGTGGTAGAGAGCTGTCAGGAACAGTGAGTACTAAATGCCTAGGGAAGTAGGGAAGGCTTCAGGGCAGAGGTGACTTTTGAATTGGGCTTTGGAGGAAGAATAAGAGTTTTACAGGTAAGTAAGACTGGGCAAAGGACATTTCTAGTTAGAGCCATGTGTGAAATCCATGAGAGGCTTGGTTTGTCCAGGGATGAGCCTGGTAAGCTGAATTGGAGCTCTGAAAGGCAGGTCAAGTTTTATTTTATTCTGCAAGCCAGGGGGAACTATCAGAGAGTAGGAGATACATCAAATCCATAACCATGATAGGTGTTACAGTTAGTGTGGAGATGGTTGTCACCCTGGGGGGACTTTATTTTAGTGGAATCACTGTGTTTCAGTCAGTATCTGGTTCTCAGTTTCATAGACGTGGAATTCAGTTTTGTAGGGCGCTCCGATTGGGTCCAGGAAGACTGACTCACTAACCAAACTTGGAAGAGACTGATGCGTAAACTCAGGGTATTAACTGGCCATGAGAAATGAAACTGCAGAATGACAGATGTTTCTGTCCTCTGGCCATTGCTTTGCCTGCCCCCAGCCCCCTTCTGGCCAGGGCTGGGACATACTAACAAACTCTTGCTCCTCAATTCCTGTTTGTTTTTCTCAGGCTCCATGAAAATTCACCGTTTCTGTTAACATAATCTTTCCTTAAGTCCTATACAGTGTGGTCAACAATCATTATTAATTGACTGAATAATTTGTATGTTGAGTGTATTCTTTGGGTAGGATCCTGTGTTTGTGAAACTTAAGAGGAGGGTTAACTCTTTTAGAAATAAAATATTGGAAAAGGGAGTTCCCTAGAATTGGGTTACTGGATCAGGTAATGCGGATTCTAAGTGGTGTGGGTAATGTTGTGGCTAAGGGTGGCAGTGGACAGTTGTATTGGGCCATGTTCTGGGAACAGAGGTCTGTGAACTCTTGGAGGGGATGAGAGCTAGAATTTTCGTCTCTTCTCTGCACATTGCAGACAGAAAAGAAAGTAGTCATTCCTGCCCTCCTCTCAGCCTGGCGTGGCGAGCTGGAATCCTTAGGAGCTTTGAGCTTTGTTTAACACTTAATTCTGCTTCTGCCAAACCACAAGAGTGGTGGACCCTCTAGAATTTTGAGTCTATATTTTTCTACAGTGAAAAAAATGAAATCCAAGCAGGTTGTGGATTAATCCAACCTAGATTGTGGATTAATTATTTTTCCCTTAAAACTCTAAAAATAACCATACAAGAAGCTTCATGTAAGAAGACTTAGTAAATATGGATAGGTATACAAAAGAAATAAAACCAACTGATAAATCCTATAACCTAGAGCTACTGTTAATATTTTAATATTTAGTGTTTGTATTCAATCTTTGTCTCCAGCTCTGTCTTTACTTGTACATTTGTTTTAACTGTTTCTTTTCCTACAAAAATAGGGACATCCTGAATAGAAGAAAGCTCTGAGTGTTGGCGTTGGTGAGATGGAGCAATTCCATGTACCCAAAATCTGTGGACATTTCCACTGTGGGCATCTGGTCCAGCGCTCTTCGTGCTCAGGGAGTGTAGGATGTGATATCCATTAGCTGATTGAATTTGAGAAATGTTTTTAGAGGGTCAGACTGCTACTTCAGCCAACCATCCGTTTTCATTTGGCAGTGGGAAATGTGTATATGTGTGACATACATGATTCTTTTTATGACTCAAGAATTAATGAACACCTTTCAAATTTGGTGTCACCACAGAGTCAGTTCTCAAACCCATCAGTGCTTGAGCGCTGTCCTCTGATCACTGCAT